TTTCTTCAGGTGATTGATTAGAGTCAAAATTTCGAATCGTTTTCTCTAATTCCCGTTGATAATTGGTTATGTGGTTCTAAATATCTTCGATCTGTCCGATTAGATTTCATATGGTTTTGATTTTTCGTTTTTATTAGGGTTTTCGATTTTGTGATTGTTGTGGTCGATTTTTGGTGGAATAGTTGGAGGAATGATAGGTTTAATAACTGAGAGCAGTCACATGGTTTTAAATGTTGATGATGAATTGATGCGTCCGGTGCCTTCTTCGCCGGAGCAGACTGGTTCTGGTTCTGCGGCGGCGGTGGTGGTGGTTGATGACAAGGCAATTGATATATCCGATGAAGAAGATGAGAACCAACCGCTAATTGGTGGTTCTGCGGAATGTCGTATTTGTCAGGACGAGTGTCCGATTGAGAATCTTGAGAGCCCTTGTGCTTGCAGTGGCAGCTTAAAGGTAGTTTTTCATTGCTTATGAGAACTATTGCTTTAGTCTCTGGTACATGTCAACAAGACTGATGCTTGCTGAGATTGAGAAAGAAAGCTGATTGTTGACGAAAAGTTTTTGTCTTGTACCAGTATGCGCATAGAAAATGTGTTCAGCGTTGGTGCAATGAAAAGGGGAACATTATATGTGAGATTTGTCATCAGGTATGTTGTAATCTTTAGGCTTATGGACTTTTAATCGATCTGGCGTAAATGTATATTTGATAGAAACGCATAATGTTAGTAGGAAAGCAATTGCATTATGTTCAATTGGTTTAGATATAGATTAATAATCCTCACTTGAGTTCAGCAATTGCATTAAGCATATTTGAAAGTTGAACAACGTTCATGCATATGTATGTTACTCTGATAGGGACTATCAATATCTCATCTTTAACTTCTTTTACTAGCCTTACCAACCCGGGTATACTGCTCCACCACCTCCGCTTCAGCCTCAAGAAACCACTATTGACATTGGGTATAGTCAAGTTCGCATTTCTGCTTCAATCTTCTCAGATTTTATTCAAGATATGTTGGTTATATTTGTTTCTGACTTCTGCAGTGGAGGATGGACAATCTCAGGTCTAGACCTGCACGATCCTCGCCTCCTTGCGATTGCAGAAGCTGAGCGTCGGTATCTAGAATCTGAATATGTGGAATATACAGCTTCAAATGCCAGCGGAGCTGCATTTTGTCGCTCAGCTGCTCTAATAGTAAGCCTTCAGCTTATTGCCAAATTTCTAGCAAGGGTCAACAACCTCAAAAACAAACTTTCTTTTCACAGCTAATGGCCCTTCTTCTCTTACGACATGCACTGACCATAACAAGCGATGCTGATGGAGAAGAAGACGATCCATCTTCGATACTATCTGTAAGCCGATTCAAGCTTCTTCTTTTCGTTCTCAGGCAATTTACGCTTACTATGTAAGTTCTAACACCAAAACCACAAAAAACATCTGATTATACAATTGCAGCTTGTCTTGCTCCGAGCTGCTGGATTTCTTCTTCCTTGCTATATCATGGCTTGGGCTATTAGTATTCTACAGCGCCGAAGACAACGACAGGTTAGTTTAAGAACTCAATGCAAGCATTTTCCCCGAGAACCTCCTTTTTTCTCTTTTTCTCTTTTTCTCTGTCGTTAGGATCAAACGGAATTACGGATATTGACTTAACCGAATTCGATCGAACAGGAAGCTGCGGCTTTGGCTACACAGTTTGCATTGGTGCTTCAGTCAGGTCAACCTAGAACAGTTCACTTCACGGTAGCACCGGGACCACCATCACCCTCCATGGCTACTGCAACTACATCTACACAACAACAACATGAAGAGCCGGTCTGATTCTTTTGACTCATAAGTATACAAAGTACAAAGTGAATCAAATGAAGAGGTTGAGTCTTTAAATTTAGAATGTATGAGTAAAGGATTGAAATCATTTGAGATCTGGTAACCTAAGATCTCCTCTCAAATGAAATTCTTCATTGTATCTGTAGCCAAAAATGTCGATAGTTTTTTCCATAAATTTGTAAATTCTTACTATTTTTCAAATATTATCTTGAAATTTGACTGTTCTAAAAAATAAAATCATCTACTTTATTACCATGAACCAGTATTTAAAAAAAATCAAAGGTCTCTCTTCTTCAGAATTTGTAGCGTACACTGATGAGAATAAGAATGTTGTAGCGCCTGGGCACTTGAGACAAGTTAGGTTCTTGAATCTGTTTTGTTGTCACTGGAATTGTCATCTCGATCCTCTGCTTCAACAACTTTTGAATCGTTGCAACAGTGCTCACAAGTCATAAAAGGTGGAGTTATATGCAGAACCTGATCTATCCTTTTCTCAATCCAAGCCAATCTTCTCTCAAAGCTCAATACACCTCTATGCATATTTCTAGCATCAATCTCAGCGACTTTAGCGCAAACCCGCAAAAGAATGTAGTAATCTGCGTGAGCCGGATATATCAATACCCCATCTTCTCTCTTCCTCACATATTGAAGATAGTCTAGTCTCTTCACCCTAACACGAGGTGGTATGTAACGGAACAAGTTCTCTCCCATATCTGTTTTTAATCTTCTTATCATTCCCTCCTTTGATTTCTCTTCTTCATTATGAGTCTCTGGTGATGAAATGTGGTGTTCTGAAGAACACTGATCATGATCCATTGATCCGCTTTCGGTTCTCATTGAAGGACTTCTACAAGGATTGTTTCCATCACTATACCTGGAGCTGGTACCATCCAATGAAAGTTGGTTAAGTAATAGATCATCGTCCCAGTCTCTTAGTCTCTTTGATGGAGTCCCAAGCCGTTGGGATTCCTACAACATGCGTGTGTACGAAATGGATTATATTTGAGTTTTGAAGAACTAATTTGAGGCATACATAAAGTTTGGTTTTTACCTCATTTTCTGGGTAACCATTCCACAGCTTATCAATAGTTCTGTATCTGTCATCAGCTGATTCTTCTTCTAAACCAGCAAAGATCTCTTTTTTCCCATGCGATAAGTAGGACATAAGATCCTTTTCGTATTCTGTAAAACAACAAAAGATTCAGGAAGGTTAGAATCTAGAGAGATGAATATCGCATAAAGGGGAAGATAGGTTGGTAAAGAGATTTACCAAGAGTTTCAGCCACGACCTCATGATATCTCGCTTCAAGTTTCGTCAGAAGCTCCTCGGTGTCTAACTCGGCTGCCTTCGTGAATTCTGATGACTCTGCCGCAGCTGATTTTGTCTCTGAAATCTCCATATCATCAATTGGAGAATCAGGCTCCTCAGAATCGACATCCGCATCCGCCTCACTAGTAGCCTCACTAGCACCATCTGATCCCAAACTCCGTTCCCAAACACCGAAACCATTAATATTATAAAGCATCCGTATAGCCACAATAATAATAGACATGACACACACGCGGGTAGGAAGCTTAAGCTTGTTCTTCGATAGATATAAATCCGGAGGCATTGACCAGTTCTGTATGAGACGCACAAGATCAAGAACCTTGTCCTCTGGAATACATAACCGGTTTAGATAGTTTGAAGCTATGCCATAGAAATTCACAGGAGGCAAAGGCAAACCAATAATATCAGCAATCAAAGCAGCTCGTACTTCTAACATCTGAGCAGAAACAATCTTATGAGGCCTAAACATTACGCTTACAGGCACAGGACAAGCAGCTGATCTCTCTCCCATTTGCTCTTTTATCTTGAGAAAACTCGATAGATACGGAATCTTCCCTTCTCGTGCCCATCTCACTATATCCGTAGGCAGAACAGGCGCTCCTGCTTTGAGACAAGCGAGGAAAGATATCGCCAAAGTGCTTGATAAAGGCATACACTTTCTAAGCTCACTAATCCATATCATTATCGCTCTTTTACCACCTATGTTTTTAATTTCGCCTCCGTGCCTGTTACGCTTAGCCTCTCTTTGTTCTTCTCCTGTGAAGACACACAAAGAGTAACAATCAGAATCACACCAGTGTTAAAGATCACTAGCTTAAAGTAACAGAGAACAAGTAGAGCAACCAATTGTTCGATTAAGTATCAGCAAAACATCAAGTAAGAAACCACTAACACCAACAAAATCCTACCTTCAAATTGAAGCTCGGAATCATCAATGGCTTTATCAGCCCAACCCTCATCGAAAACACCGGAAAGAGCAACGTAGCGTAAGCAGATGGGTGCGACTAAACCAATAATCAAAGGAGTGACATTGAATTTCTCAACCAAAGCATCGCATTGATACGTAATCATCATCAGAAACCCATTAACGTATCGATCTCTCGTCTCTCCGTAATAATCCTTAAACTCCAAACTGGTAGCTCCGAAATCAGCAGGCTCGATCGGCTCATTGTCGAGATTCTCAGGCTCTCTCTTCACTTCCCTATTCTGGTTAGTCGCGGATTGTGGGATCTGGGTAGTTGTTGCGGATTGAAGCTGAGATCGAAATTGAGAGTAACGCATAGTTTCTTCATCGTAACGAGGATGTGCAGGAGTGGTTGGTTGCGATGGTCGACGACGAGTGTTGATTGGATTATACAATGCGCCGCGAGTGCCTCCGTCGTCTCCAATGAAATCTTCGTCGGCGACTGCGGTTGCGATTATACCGGGGGCTCGAGTACCGCATACGCAGTAGAAAAAGCCATCTTCATCTTCATCAAACTCGTCTTCTCTGTCGCACTCCTTGCAAATCATCGTAGTTTGCAGGAATTTCAAT